AACATCTCATGCTAGTAGAACAGCATAGACGTTATTGTGTTTCATTCAAATTTCGTTCCGGTACGCGGCATCAAAACGTAGAGTGCCTTACCGGAAACACTTATACATGCCGCCAACAGTCATAGTTCAAATACAAGGGTTGACGGTGCACCAATTTCGCGGCCTCAAATTAAAAGACGGATTAATATGAATAAACAGTGGTAGACACAATGTTTATCAATATAAAATTTCCCATAATATAGTTCAGGTCTACTTTGAACTTACAATTTATACCTCGTAAACTTCACTCCGTAAAACCTTACAACACAATTTTCCAAATAACTTGTATTTAATAAGACAACGCAAAAATGTTATTGCGAGATGGAAACATACCGTGGTTCAGTAGGTTATCAAATTGAGTCTCAACGTGTATTCGGTCGATATTCCTTGGGGGAATCTAAAAATGTACACCTAATGACAAAGCTTCCATTTGAAAAGCAAGGTAAGAAGATGAAAACTGGTAGATGCATGCATCTACCAATTGTAGACTTCTAACCGTGTTATTCAAATGTCTGAAGCGAACTAACTGCTTTAAAGCTTCCATTTGTTTTCTGTTCAAAGATACGGAAGACAGGTTGTGTATATGCTTGTGTACGTCGTCGATAAAGCAGGTTCTTCATTTGTGTTTTCAAGCGACCCACGCAGGACTTTGTCCAGTTTCATTCTCGTTCTGTCAACAACAGTTTGGTAGAAATTCGTGAATTTGCTGCGAAAACCAGTGACAGTTGGTCAGTGATCGCCATACGGCGTTGGTAATGTTCTAATACCCGCACACAGATTATGTTTGCCTAATCCAAATAGGAGTAAGCGAGGCGCTTCATGTTTGCGATTGCAGGCCACAGCCGATTTCGGCGTAGCAACTTGCAAATCTGCCGAGATTTATAAGCATTGCGTTTGCAGTCAGATAGAAACCGAATGCGCATTAACGTCGCAGCAATCTTGTTCTTCAGTGTTAAGTGTTCGTCAAGGTTACTAATAGTCTCGATCGAGAGTAAGGTCTACGAAATTTAAGGCTCTGAGTTCCCTATATCAATCTACATAAGAGAATGAGAATACCGTATTGTGAGATGGAACCATTTCGTGTTATCTACTCACTCGCAAACTAAAAACATAAAGTTTAATCTCTAGACAGAAAAGTCGAAAATTTCAATCAGGTCAGGAAGGAAAATTACGTAGACGTAAGAACAACGGATCACTGAGCTTGATCTTAGGGTCGTGAGGCCCAAGGAAGCTTCAGGGAGAATGTTACTTGTTTTTGTACACAAAGGATAGGGCGATGTCAGTTAAGTGCCACGACCTCGGCAAACCTCAATACTTTGGGGTTTCCATTGAGATAGATAATTGGAAACGTTGATCTAGGGTCTACCAGATGGCTTGACTCGAGTAAGTGTCTGAAGATCGATGATGCCGGCAGCTTAGTTACCTATTATCCTTCGGCTGCTGGTTGCGACGATATTTTAGCAATCGGTTTCTGGATAAAATCTCCAATACGCTTACCTAAGGATCAATCTGTTCTGCCAATGTAACTACTACTGTAGCTAAATAAGTATTAGTAAATACAATGGCTTGTGGCGTAGATCGGTTGAGTAGGCTTAAAAGGAGTCATAAGCAACTTCCTTGTCTCCCAAATGGGGTAGAATTTGGCGGCATGAAAAGTTCGACGAACCGCTATATGCAAAGGACTTTCAAGTTGGGCAGCCACGATATCACCTTTGAAAGGTAATCCAATGTAGACAGACAGTTTGGGCACAGTAAGTACTCTCGGCCCGTTTTCTTTCAGTTGACTGTGGAATCGAATAAACGCCTCTGGATTTCCGTTGGTCCGTAGCGTCTGTGTGCTAAACAGCATTTCCTGTTCCAAACAGTCGCCAGGGCATATTCTGCGGGCTTGAGTAAACAGCGTCTTGACTAAGCACCGCTTGTATCTTGTATCTTATAGGGGTGATATGTCAGTACTGGTTGGCCCGGATGGACGGCTCCTAACCTCTATTACGAAAACAGCGTTCGTGTCAGCGGCGCACTACGCTTCTGTAGTTGCAAAGGACCAGGTGTCCGTTTCGAGTTCGACGTGTATCGCTTTTACCGAACTGGATAGTTTGGATTGACGCGTTGAAGAGGCACGCAAATAACTCGCAAGTCTTGATGACACCAAACCTGCCGAACCTAATGGGTTCTACCCACTGATTCTCAAGTCACTTTCGGCAACCACCTCTCACGGCTTGACTGAACTTTAGAACAGGTCGATGTCTAAAAGGTTCATTACTGATTGACTTGAAAGGTTGCTGGTGAAACCTATTCCAAAAGGCTGCGACCCTAGCAAAGTAGACAAGGACATTTTATTTAGTCTGATACCTGTTTCAACAAAATTTGCTGAGAAAATCGCAAAAGTTGCATTATTGCATTTGCCAGCAGTTGTCAGAAGAAGACCCGACTGCCGCGAAGCACAGTTTTACGCAATACCGCTCATGTAATATAAACTTGTTTGTGACGAGGCGTGAGTGGTTGAAGGCAATAAGCAAGGGGATGTCTGCTGGATTGATATTTATCAATCTCAGTAAAGCGTTCGACAAGGTCAATAATGTGGTTTTCCTTCAAAAACTCAGGATGTGCCGTGGATCTGCGAAGTTCTTTTTGGACGAAAGTGGAGGGTACAGGTCCACGACCATTTAACTGACTGGTATCCCTCTACGAAGGATATGCCTAAGGGCACTGTGCTGAGGTCCACTCTGTCCTGATTCACATCAAAGATCTGCTGCAGCTTCTCTGGTACCTGTGTGCCTTGCGTGCCGACTACAAGGAGAATCGGAAAGAAATTAATGCTTCCGTCCATTCGGGCCTCCTTCTGCAAGACTTTAAACAACTATCCTCACAGTCAGTAGAATTTCAGCATATGGTCAACCCAGGCAAATCTGTATTTTTAAGCGTGGGGAAGAGTGCTTACGACCGAAAGGTTCGTGTTCAAACCCTATCTTTCGCACTCACTATATAGGACAAAGTTTTACTCTCGCGCTACGATTTGAAGTCCGCAGACAACGCGAACAAGCTATATCGCATTGGACTGCACATACTTTGGGCGCCCAAGCCTTACTTCGCCACATGGCCTGAGGTAGTCGTCACTCGCCGCTTCTCTTGCATCATGTAAACAATGCTTCAGTACGGTTCGCCCGTCTACTTTCCAAATACTCGAGGCCAGGCACAAAAGATCGTACGGGTCCAACACGTTGATATCAGGCCCATCCTGAGTTATTGTTTCTTCAGTATGAAGAGCGGTGCGAGAAACTAGGACTCTACAACTTGTCCTATTGTCAGGTGCGAGTCGACCACATTACGACCTACGGTATTATATATCCCGGTGACTTCACCACGCTAAGGCAAATGCTGCACTAAAAGAGGGCCATGAAGCACACGTGGACACAGATACAAAATTGTCATGTTGGATATGAAGTGAGTTCCCCAGCCACGGTTTTTCGAACGGAGAGTGGTAAATATTTGGCAAATTTTGCCTGGATATGTGATGAAGGCAACATCTGTGCAGCGGTTTAAAAACGTTGATGGATTTATATTTTATCACTGTTCTATTCAGCGAACGAGTGCTCCCGTTTGTAAGTCTTGCAATACCGAGAGTCATAAATTAAAATGTCACGTGACAAAGTCAAGATATTCATGGCTGACAATGTTTAAGGTTTTCACCATATTTCACAATCGCTGTAGAGGATGCATTGACACTTGATCTATAGTACAATAGCCAGTATTATTATTTGTGATATGGGGAAAATATAATATCAATATTATCGCTGTTACAGAAAAAGTACCGTACACAATAAAATAGTTACCAGTATAGCATTTGAAGTCTCATGAGTATGAAGCAGGACATCACAGCTGAATATTATTGTGGAATGTGGTTTGCGATGGCGTATTTACTATAGGCCAAAACTGCCAACTAATAAGCTTGAGTCATCTACTGATTGGGTTAAGCGAGTATTCACAAACCTTTATGTGGACTCACAAAGTGTTGCATCCTGTATAGTGTACTATCATTTTCTTAACCACATGGTCTCCTGTTCTGGTCTATTGCACATCTCAACCTATCCATTAATGTGCCGCAACTGCTATCTATGTCCATGTTATTCACTTTGAGTTTTAGACGTGAATGATGCCAGGGGCATTGGTGTCGGTGCCGACTGTGTACTTACTATGGTGACATATCTGGGTCTCAATGTGTTTTAGTGAAGACGAGATCGGTGCAGCGGGGAGCAATGAGGCATTTGAAAAGTAAGTTTAGGAATCACTGTAACCAGTGATAAATTAAGGTGCATACAAAATAAAAGGTGATTTATCTGTCAATTAAGTGTGCAAACAAATGCGAAGAAATTTTACAGTTACCTGTAATTGACTTGAGCCCCACATATACTACTGTGTCACGGGGTGAAACATTGATTAATTGGTCAAACGGAAATGCGACCATTGTAATATACAGGAATGTCTCTTCAATTTTTGAAATGAACACACGTCGGCTTGGCAGATTTCTTATAATTAACTTCCATCTATCATGTTTGTTTATCAGCAGTCTTTCGTTAGATTTATTTTATTCAACACCACGTAACATCAGAAGCTAAGTAAATTTACATGCAGAAATGTGCTCCAGAAACCCATCATTCTGTGTTCGATACCTTGCTTTCCTTGGATATACATGCGCAGCATTTGAGTCTTCTAAAGGGCAATTGACTCTCTATCTGTTGCCACCGTCTCATCTTCCTGTCGAATCAGAGCAACTTGAACACATGCAGTGCATATATTCCGTCGCTTTTGGTTAACATTATCCAACTGGTTTTTTAGTTTGCTTGTTGAAGCGCAGCTTGAAAAAAAAGCTTCCAACAATAGTTTATTAAAAATACGAAATTCACACTGATGCACAGTTAATCACTTCAACGTATTCATTGATAATTAAATTTTCGTGTCCTATTTGCTAAAGTAGGTGTAGTTTACGACACAGAGAAAAAGTGAGGTAACAACGCGGCGTAAGCTATTGTTGGGGTATCTCCTTGCTTATTTTACGCAGGGCTACGTTGGATGTACAGGATGGCTTGTTTTCGTCATTAAGCTCTTCCATGAGTTGAGTTAGTACATTCAACACACCATCATTGATTTCACCCGTCACGATTTGTACATGTCTTGGGGTTTTTGATGTAATGATAGTACAGTTCGCGATTGGGAGCGTTAATTGCTCTTCTATCTGTTGAATTGGAAGTAGGGATTGTGCAGTTAAATGTAGGTGAATCTACCACACAAACAGCGGTTAAATAGTTATTGTGGGATGTAACAGGATATAAAATTAATTGGTTACCAATTAGTTGCGCTTACCGCTTTGCAAGCGTCCACGAATTGATTTTCGTATTTAAGCTTTCGTCTTAGGTAGACATCAAACGCTGAAAAAATAACACATATATTTTACATTTTATTATATAGTTATCGCGAAATATGAAACCTCGATGTGCGAGAGGTTCTTCTCAACTGAATCCAAGTCAAATTTTCTGGCTGAGGCACAAATACTATAATAGAAAGCCCCAAAACGAAAGAGTAGACAGCCTGAGTCCATCAGCATATTCGTAAATAAATGTTAATTACCTTCTTATTCAGTAACCATTGACCAAATTTAGCCCTTTTGCACAGAAAAATTGTGTGGATATACTCTAAGTGTGTTTATTGCGTTCGGTTTTCAATCAAGATTTATATGACATGCTTGTTTTGTTGCGCTCACATGGCTGATGTTTGTTCCACACAAGTTTTGGGTAAATTATTGATATTTAAATTAGATAAATTGGTATGTAAGGAACAAATGGTTGCGAAGAATACTCTGTTCGATAAAATTCATCATCATATATTACAAAATGCATGTTAGGACGGAAAAGGCAGGTGAAGCGTGGAGCAGATTGGGAATGAGACGAGGCAGCAATTGAATTGTTTTAATTGATACATCACTCGATTATTCAGGCAGCAGCTACCACAGTACACACATGCATTAAAGTGGTGAGAAAACTGTCAGCAATAAAGTTAATCTCTGGCCAAATTACCGATTTGCACAAATGCCCTGTGGTTGTCAGTTTGATCCTAACGGCTTCAAATGTCCGTAAGATTGCCTTCCATGGTAGTTTAAGCACTACAAAATATTTAATTGCACCAGCAGTCCTAATTTTATATCCACATTCGAAAAGCTGTTACAGAAAAGAAATTTTGTTGCAACCGAGACTACCTTTTGCGATGCTGTACGATAGTACTAAGCTATCAGTTTAACTGAAAGTTCAGCCATATGTCTGACATTTCGCAGGAGAGGTGAAATTAACTGCATCAATAATTTCCAAATCAGATTGCATCAACATTTCTTCATCAAGACACTGGGCAATATGCGACGGGATTTATGCAACGAGATGTGGATGAAAAGCAGGGAAAGCTTCAATTACTGCAGTGGATAGTCTGTTATTCCCCACCAGATCAACTAATCAAACGGGCTCGAGAGGTGAGTAGCGCGGAAATCATCTGTCGTACGTTATGTAGGTGTACTAGTTCGGGATGACTTAGGTCGCTCTAGACAATTTCTAGAGGCATCCTAAGCTGGTAACCAACACTGCAGGATGGTGTGATATAAGTTAGGATAAATGCTCACTGCGTATGATTCCCCCCTATTTGGCTTAAGCCGTAATGCCCGGCATTCATGGCTGAAATCCGGCCTTAATGCATTTGAGCATTGCCAAGATCTAATGCGATGTATTTAAATGTTCAGTCTCTCATACAAGCAGTTGTTGAAACGATTGGAGATAGTCTGCTGACAATATTGCAAATTAAAAGATGACCTTATAATATCCGGCTTGAAACTACAAGACCCACATAATGTACACCACTCCTTCTGATCGTAAATAACACCCGTGGAACGCAATATCCGAATTCGTCACTATTGGACCGATACAAATAATATTAATTTCAGGGTTGGATGAAAGTACACATTGTTTTTTAACACAATCTATTCTTCCTTAACATTGAAGATACCTTGGATTTAGTTAGTATTACCTGTGAGTGCAGTGGCATTACACGGATATCAGGACAACAGCATAACGAATGACACCACCGAGTTTTCATATTTATAGTAGTAACACTTTTATCACTATTTTTGCTGACCCCATCAAACTCCCAGCGAGATATTCAAAGCAGAGTTCTTAACCCATGTAACTTCCTTGTTTATTTTGCAAGTTGAAGGGTATTGTTTATTTGTGTAAACCAAATGAAATACTTAATTTTTGAGATGAGTTGTGGTCCTTTCTTATCGACCATCAATCAATATACGCATTTGGATGAACGAAACTGAATGACTAATTTATTGTAGCCATTTATGCACGAGCCTTTTTTCAACATCCAATTCCTAGGCTGCAATGTTGGGTTGTGGTGCGAAAATGCAATCTACGAACAAGGTCTGCTTTTGAATTTGTAAGGTACAAAAGAGTAAATACGTATTTTGACCCATCAACGGCGGTTTCAGAATAACACACATATCTGGTTAACCGTCTCCCCTTCTGCTTATCAAGACGTCTAGGAAAGCCAGGTTACCATTATTTTCGAAGTTGCTAGTGAAAATAAATGTTAGATGTGCTGGCTTACATAGTTAACATACAGGAAATATCAATATCGCAATTCTGGACTAAAAGCTGTTACCCATATGCCGACAATAGGAAGCGAGTACGCATTATAGGTTGCCGAAATCCATGTCAAGGAATCGCAACGAAAATGTCAGCACGAAGCGGTTCTGGAGAAGACCCCGTCAAGGCTCATTAGATCTGTTATAGTAACGTCCATCTAGTATGTATTGTCCGTTACAGTGCATTATGCCATTATCGTATATTACTGAATTTAAGCCCGTCCGTAAAATAAACCGACAGTATCCATTTGCGAAGTCAAATTTATCCAAAATCATAAGACCCTATAATAACTGACCCCAACAAATAAGCAATACCATAAAGACATCGTTTCCTCACGAGTTTGATTTGGCTAATACTTGCTTTCACTTGAGTGTATTCAAGCGAAACCTGCTCTCCTATTGGCCAGTTGTAGTGACCGTACTGTGTTATGACCGCGATTAAGTGCACCTAAAACAGTCAGAACAAATACTTTCACTGTACTGGACGGCTTTTGTGCAGATATCAAGCAACATTAAATAGATAAGGCCGCCAATAAAATGAGGTTAGATATAATGTAATGTCAGAGACTCCGCCTCATGCATAGCAACCACAAAAGAGCAGTTTGTGCGATCGAGGTTCAGGATCAACGGGCGGTGTTCGGCGCATGGAACCAACACCGCCTGAAATTTGCCGGTGAGGTCGGGTAGGGAAGTAGTTTTGAATTAAATAAGATAAATAGTGAATCGGAAGCGATTAATGCTTACAACAATTTGTAGTAATATATATATATTTCCATTAATTTGCCATTTCAATGTTAAGCTAGTGTATCTCAATTCCTATTTCTACGCATGACTAATTAAGGTTGACTCCAACAGTGCAACTAAACTTTTATTCATCCTTGATTCTATTCTTTTTGTCTACATAAATCCTGAACTACTTTTTGCTACTACGCTGTGTTAAAGCACGCAAATCGAAAAATACTTTTCCGACATTCTATGTGTTGGATGCTCCTTGGTCAAATGTGTGAGACGAAGTGGCACTTTTAATGCACCGGCTTATCGAGTATAGTATATATATATATCATAAGCGATGTGACTGCTAACCAAATGAACACTATTGCGACGTCGCTTTATCCGGCTGGGTGGGAATGCGCCCAGACATTATGGGATCTTCCAAAGTGTTGGAAAGTGAAAATATGTTTCAAAATGATGTATTTACTTATATACGCTGTAACCCCCCTTCCGCTAATGGAGTGGGGTGCTAAACGAAGATGGGTCACAGATTTGCAGCGCAAACTTGGTTGAATTTCCCATGTGATCTATTTCAAATTGCGTATAATCATTTGATTAGCCGACCCCTTACCATTAACGTTTAGTACTTATTGCGTTCTGTTTCAAAATGTGTACAGTCCATATCGCTACCTAGTGGCAAGCTGAAGTTGCAGATATTGGACACTTAAGTAACTTGGGTTTGGCTATTACAAGTAATGTGTGAATCCGGGATTTAACTGTTCCACTAGTGCTTCATCGACGAGACTCACGCCTTCCTTCTCCTTCAATATTTATGTGACGTTGTTCTTATCCTGAGAGGATTTTTCTCTCTGCAAAACATAACGTCACAATTTTCCCGTGTCTTTCATTTTAGGGATGCAGTCGAGTTTATCCAGCAGGATGCATATCGATATTTAGCTGGCTTGCGAATTATCCCGTCTGGATTCCATCGCTGGCAGCTGATGATCATTTGGTGTTTCCAAACAGGATATTTGAGTAATTGGCTTTGTAACACAATATATTGCGCCAGGTAAATCAGGATGATCCTGAAGATATCCTACGCTAGAGAAGTAAAATGTAACACTTTTCTGGACTGTTGCAACAATTTTTCAACTTAGGTCTTGAAATGGACTTGTTCACAATCAGCTTGAGAGCAACAAAATCTTTCTCTATGTGACGATACCCGTACTTGCAATACTTTAGTTACAAAACTGAATAGAATTTACTAATATTGTTCTCGATGCCCTGCAAACTGAAGTTTTGGCCGATTTGGTTCGATCGGTTAAGCACTTCAGCCAATCGATAGTTTTCCATCTTTATACTTAATATTTGTACATATCGTGCAAGTTATCGTGGTATTCTTTATCGAGCTCCCTCACCTTTTAACTGTGAAGTGAACATTTACGTTCCTGCTCCAGTGCTCGTGACTGAGCAGTTTCAAGTATCCTGTAAGCATTGTTCTTGGGTGACATAGTGGTTAGAGGCACATGATACCATGTGCGTGCCTTTCAATAGGCACACTGAATTCGATTACGCTGTAAACGCTTTTGTAGGCATGTAATGCCAATACTGCCATAGGACCCAAGAAGCTATATGTGATCCAAACATAGAAAGTAGTCACAAATCTATCAAATATAATAAAAAATATAAATAATATTTCCAAGATTTATGTGCGCCAGTTTTCATGAATCCGAGACAAATTTTGTAAAAGGCTAGCTGCTGGACGACGGGAAAAAAACATTTTGTGTCAACTAACTGGGGTTCCAGCTAAGTCGACCGCTGTGATGCGCAACGTCGGTCCACAATAAATGGTGCTTCAGGGTGAAGAGTAGTTACTCCAAGGAACACTTCAATTAGATGACCTGAGGCAGTTCCCTAGTCTGTCACCTACCTCTTTGCCACCACATACAATGGTCGCAATTTTCCTGATGTTCCTTGAAGCGAACGTCAAAAACGGAAACAAAATCAGGATGACATCCGTAAACGAAAGGA